TTTTCCTATCAAAAATAATCAATATAGGTTTATATGTTTTCAACAATACATAATTAAATTTGATATTTTGGGTTCTCATTGGGTCCTTTGTTGATATAGCCCCTATATAAAGGTAACCACCAATATTCGATTTTGGGTACAGTTTTGAGCTTATTTGGTCCTGGTATGTTGAAGGACCTAGCCTAATTTTCCAACCAGAGAGTCGATAATATTTACGATCCCGATCGATTTAAGGTTGTTTGAATGTGTGCTCATGGTGGAGTATTTTTCCAGGTTTCCTATTCCTCCATTATTATTGCGCTAACCATATTGGAGGGGAAAATAAATACAAAATTTCAATAATGCAGCAATATTCCATTACAATAATAATTTTCATTTCATTTTCCATAAAATTGATGATAAACCCCCTGTTATTATTACGTCAAAAATAATCTCTTTCCGTTTTTATGAAGTGTTTACGAGTTTTTAAAGACCATACAAAAATGTTTAAACACACCACCCGCCCCATTTTCCAACCGACTCTTCTATAATCCACAAGACAAGCAGGCAAGGTGTTGGTTGATGCATCTTTTATTTCAGCCACTGCATGATTTAGTGGAGCTTCGTATTTGTTGTTGGTGTGTTGTTTGCCAAGTTTGTTTTTTTGTTGCTTTGCCCAGACAGATCGTGATAATACCGGCTAATTGTAAAGGTCAAGTTTAGTTTTTCTTGTTGTTGTTTTTTCTATTAAAAATGATTATTATTTACATTCCAAATATATTTTAATTATTTTAATATTTATTTATATTTTCGATGATTTTTATATTTGATTTGTTTAATATTCATGTGTTTTCTAAGAGAGCTATTTAAAATCAAGACGGAAGTTTTCAGTATTTTGAAGCTTCTTTTGTTTTTGTTTATTGGCTTGTCATTTGTTTTATTTCACTGCAATTTTTGTTGTAGGTTATTCATGAATTCCACTTTGATGGGAGGCATGCCAAAGGTGTGTGTGGGGTTTCACTGATTGTTTGTGTGCGCGTGTTTGTGAGATATTTTTTTTTGTTTCGTTGGTATTTTGCAGATTTTTATTCTTTTTTATTTTGAACATTCTTGATTTTTTATGGTTATCAGTTTTTAGGCTATTATGTTTCAGACACTTGTTTTTATTGTTGCACACACTCACTCACTGACACAAAAGACGAAAAAAAAGTGGCACACAAAACGACGATACAATAAAAATATCTTCCAAGTGATAACAATATTTACGCACTGATATCACCGCAGAAAAATTGGCCAAGAAAGACAAATCAACAATTGTTGTTGCTGTTGCCGTTGATGTATACAATTTCTTTAACAACAATAACAAAAAAGAAACGTTGAACTTTTTTTAATTATTACAATTTCGGAATTTTTGATTTTTTTTTTTTAAATTTCTAATTTAATTTTTGCTACTTTTTGTTTTAATTATTTTTTTCCTATGAATTCTTTTTATCTTTGGATTATTTTTTATTATTATTTTTATATACAAAAAATATATTATGTTTTCTTTTTTAAATTGATAATAATAATATATAAATATTATTTTGTTATCTCCACATTGGCGCGCGTTTAACGACTGATTTTTTGTGTTGCTGAAATTCAATTTCAATGTCGTCCGTCTAACGTGCTTGGCTTGGCATGGCGTTGGAGAGATCTAAGAGAATTTTGTTGGCAGTTATATTTGGCATATTGAATGAGTAAAGCGGCGTGAGTGCGTTTCGCTCTCTGTATTGTGTGTACCGACGACTCTTTTTATTGATATCAAACATCTATTAACAATGTTGTCTGTCATCAATAGAATAGTTGGCTGGTGGGGATGACTCCCCATTGCAATTTCGTTGTTTTGGGGGTAGCAGCATGTTGTTAACAACAACAAGCCTTCTTAATAGATTTTGTTGTTATTGTTGTTTTTTTCTTTTTATTTTATTGATAACATTTGACAATTTGACCCTTGTGTGTGGTATAATTCGTATCTCTTCTTTTTCTCTCTCTATTACGCGTTTTACTCTCATTAGTTTGCAATTAATTGAAATCCACCGCTATAAATTAATATTGCGGGGATTTTGCTGTTGTTGTTGTTATTGTTTTTGTTTATTTTTCTTTGCAGGTGAGTTGAAGGGGTCTGAAATTTTTATTATATTCTGAAGTGTAAACACTGTTGGCCGCAATGAATCAATATTTATTGTGTGTCTCACTCACATTGCATTATTATCTCATGTATTTGAAGAGAGGTATTAAAGCGAGAACTCAAGATAAATGAGTTGGACATTTGCAGGTCAATGAAAATCATAAAAATAAATTTATTTTAACTGACTTATGTATTTTTTCATAAAACCCCATAAAATTAATAAAATATACTTCAATCTACCACATGGAAATCAATCTTCACATCGTCGTTAAAAATTGTCTTTAATATTTCGTCTTGTTCCTCCATTAGTCCTTGAAAAATATTTCTTTAAAAAACGCAATATTCGTTATGTTCTTGAAATTAAAAATTGTTTATTTCCTCCGCCATAGTCCTGTCCGTTCGTGTAGGGTAGTTTGGTAGTTATTCAATCGAATTGGTTGAATTTTTGTATTTTGGCTTCGCATTGGGTAACAAATCTTTCTACCAAAAATTATCCATATTGGGTCCACTTTTAAGGATAGCACCCCATGTAACGATACATCCCAAATTTCGGTACTTTGTGGATTTTGGTCACTTTTCAACCAAATTGGCTATAATTTGACAATTTTGACAATTGTGTCTGTTCGTCAGAGATACCTAATGTTAATGGGGGGTTAATGCACTCGGGTAAATTGGACCCAAGATATTGTGTGAAGAAGAAATCAGAATTTTTATTCTATGGGGTATATATATTTCCTCTTCAACTTAAAAGGCCGGAGAAGTTGACAATAAATCCAAGATGAGTGGTTGACCTTTAAATTGATACAAATTATATTGATGTATATACTCTGATATTGTTTAGTATTCCCATTACCACATCAGAAAACAAAAATGTCACGCTGATAACTATGAAAATTTGCATGAAGTTCCAGTTATAGTCAAGGACGATATCTCCAGTTCCCGATAGAGGTCGCATGATATTTAGGGTGTGAAATGAACTGAAAACTGTTTTGTCTGTTTTCTGGTAGCTTTGTAGATCATAAAGGTACATATTGAAGGCGATCCGGGTAACAGATAAACAAGAATCTTTTAATGATAATCGCCCAATATTTAGCAAGTCAGCTGGATCAAGAGATTTGTGTAAAAAGTGATTAAAATTTGCATATTATATGTTTAGTACGGAAAGATATGGTCCGGAAAAATAGTCAGTCTATAAATGTGGAAAAATAGTCAGTCTATAAATGTGGATGGTTGAGGGCTTTTGTATATCCCCTATATACTGAAATTTGTGATGGGGTATACATATTCTTTTATGGTTTAAAATTACGATTACCACACCAAAGAATTTTTCCCAGGCTCTGGATTTAATTCCGCAGAAGTAGTAGGACAGTGCCTGCTCCACTCATTGGTATTACCAGTAATTTAATATTTTAGATCCATACCAAAAATGATCACAATTTACTCAAGTTTCCGCGTAGTTCCCATAAAACGGCACATCCAAATATTCAGTATTTTGGGTGGCCAAATCTTTCAAGCTATGGAAAGCCTTCACATAAAAGTTCCGATCGATTTTAATTATAACGAATATTCACCTGATAGCGGAGGTTATAAAAACTTCTGCCCGGCAAAACTTAACGACATTTTTGCTTGTCCTGGTACCTCTCTATTTTATTGTTTATCAATCCAAAAATAAATACAAAATACTGGCGTAAAAATCTATTTATAAATGATATAATACAGGTGGGTGAACTGAAGACAACTACTCGAGAACAAATATGATAAGGAGTATGTACTTATCTTCGTTCCATACAAATAGAGAATAGATATGACATGGAATCTTCAAATTAAGTACAATAACCTGAAGGAAACTATAAAAAAATAAAATCTGCAATAAGTTTTAGATTGGCTGAGGAAGAACATTTATTTAAGATCCGAATAGAGCCTCTATAGACGACCTAAAGGGAATCTTTACGACGAGCTGAAGGGATTCTTTAGAAAGAGATACAATAAGTCTTTATTAATGAGCTGAAGACAGCGAAAAAAGTATTTATAGACGAGCTCAAGGAAGTCATAAATGAGCTGAAGGGGGAGGCCCTTTGGAAGGGAGTAATTATATTGAAGTGGATCTGTACAGACTCAAGGGAGTTTCAATAGGTATATTTATTGGAGTAGTATATTTTATGGAGTAGCTGAAGGTAGACTTTTTAGAAGCTGGGAATGAAGACATCCATTAATGACTATGTATTATTTGATATTTGAAAATTCAGTATTCATTGGACCTAAAATATCAATCGATCGATTTGCAATTAATTTTTTTGCGGTTATAGTGACTTAGAATTGTTATAATATTTTCTAGTATTAAAAATATTTAATTGTTATTAATTTTGTTATACTATTATTAATTACAAAATAAATTATTGTTTTTTTTAATTTCATTTCAGTCGAACATCATCCGAACAAATAATTTAATACATATTAAGGAATTTTTTATTTAATTCCGGTTAAAAGGTCATGCAGTATAGTTTATGATTTATTAGCGTATTTACAGCAACAACAATACAAAACTAGCAGCAGTTAGAGACGTAAACAAAAAATAACTACACAACAACAAAAAGGTTAATATCTTATTTTCAAACAACAATTTGCATCATCAACAAGGCCAAGTCAGAGTCCGAGAAGTAGGAGGAGGGAGACAACTAAAAAGGTAAGTCAATTTATTAGGAAAATTACACATTGAACTATTATTTTGAAGACATCATTACTAGTACTCGGTTTCATTCAAAAACACGCAATGGAAACTATTTTTTAAAGGGTTAGCAATTGTTTTGTTATTAAACGGAGGTAGAAATGATAATGTTTTTGTAATGACAACAACATCATCTTGAAACTCAACTCACCGCCTTTATTGATGGCACGAAATATTAAGCCATTTTCCAGATTTTTTAAAATATTACTCAGTCTGGAGTGGTATTTATGAAATAATAACAAATCTACGTGTAAAACAAACCCACCACAATATATTTGGACAATGTGTGAGTGTGCATTTAAGAAATTGGAGGAGAAGAAAAAGTTGTATTAAAAATAATATACAAAATTTAATTTTCTGTTTTCATTTGAAATAGAATTCAATAAGCTTTTTGGTTATTTGTTGCCTAAAAGTATGCTATGCTTTTTTGGCCTACATTAACATAGCATATAACAGAGAGTGGCAGAGAGATATACATGGATGAAATGTTTATAACCGTCAGAGGGGTATGTTATAAACATTTCAAATCATTGCATTACAGGTTTCCATTATCACCACTAGATGGCGGTATGGATGCATATTTCTCTGTTAATGTTATGTTAAATATTTGCCTCTTAGTTGAGAAAAACAGTTTACTTACAATTTTCACTTCTCGACAATTGATTCACAACAATTGTATCCAAATTTCCACCCAACATTTTTGCCACCAGCTCTTCGACATATTCGCGTATTTTGAGCTTTTGTTCGGGCGTTATAACAGCTGTGGCGGCACCAATTTGACTAACACTTTCAAAGTCTAAAAATGAAATGGAAAATTTTATTATTTACTCTGTTAACTTTTTAATCCTCATATTGTTGTACTTACGCATTGAACCATCATTACACTCGGATATGGGTATAAATATTTCACTTCTTGCCCTCATCGGATAGACCAATTTCTGTTGATTAAATGATTGTTGATCGGCAACCCATGATGATGTCTGGGCCATTGAATGTTTTGAGGATTGACATAATTCACATTCCCATTGGGCGGTTTTTGGTAACCAGTCGGCACATTTGATACTCCGGCAAATGTGTTTCTGGCAAATGTAACATTTGACAAATCTATGGAGGAAAATAAAAGTGGATAATAAATAAATTTGAAGATTATTCAATATAGGGAATAAAGGAAATTGGGAAGAACTGAAGGGAGTCTTTATAGATTAGTTGGATGGAGTTTTTAAAGACAATCTGAAAGGTGTTTTAATATGCGAGTTCTTTATAGATGAGCTGAATAGAGTTTTTAAAGATCAGCTGAAGGGAGCTGAAGAGTTTTTAAAGATGAGCGAAAGGGAGTATTTATAGAGGAGATGGAAGGTTTTTTATAGACGAGCTGAAGTTAATCTTTATAACTCAGTTGAGGGGCTCTTTATTGACCAGCAGAAGGTAACTTTATAAATTTTCTGAAGCGAGTAGCGGAATAGAGTTTTTACAGATCAGTTGGTGCTATTTTTTGGAAGTCTTTATAAACCCGCTGAGTGGAGTCTTTGTTAACTAGTTGGAGGGAGTCTTTGTATGCGAGATAAAGCGAATTTTTATAGACGATATGAAGGGAACCTTTATAGACGAACTGAAGGTTCTTTCTATAGTGCGTCTGTTTTTATAGAAGAGTTCAAGGGAGTATAAATATAAAGGAAATCGGCCACGAGATAGCGCCACCCAGAGGAAAATGGCAACACTACATTTGGATGAACCCCAACCAATGTACAAAATTCAAGGATACGTTGTTTCTAGGCACCTCAAGATGTCACCTAGTGAATATTCTGATATAAAAATATTTGAAAGTGTTTTCTTCGAATATTTTTTAAAAGAGTCCTTCCAAAAGCCCCCTGAATTGTAATAAGCAACATAATCTACACATTAAAAAAACATAAAATAGGAATGATTGGACATATCGCGGTCCAGAAGAAAAGGATAACACCAAATAAGCAAATAAGAACGAGCTGAAGTAGACTTTATATATAACCTTGAGGTAGTCTTTATATACGATCCGAAGGGAAGAACTGAAGGCAGTTTTTGTGGCTGAGCTGAAGGGAGATATTGATCGAGGACTTTGTATTGTCCATTACTGGCATCTTCAATATGCATTGGTCCCAAAATTTAAATAGCTAACCACGCTTTGTAAACAATTTTATTAAATATATTTTTTTAATAATTTTTTTTTTGTTAAATTATTTTTGTTAATCTTTTTTTGTTGTATTAATTATTTTGACATTTCCTTTCATTTATTTTTTAAAAATCATTCATCCATCCATGGTGTCAATGAATTAACCCTCTCAGTGCTAACAATTTTTTTTTTGTCGGAATAAAAATCTAAAAGTTTGTATTTAAAATCAAATAAAGGCACAGAGTTTAGAAAAAAAGCAATTTGTATTTTAACCCTCGTACAGTTTTGTCCGTCTTTCAGCAAAAACTAAAACATCAATTGTAACGGTACCTAGTATAACCGAAAAATCGCAAAGAAAGAGAGTAATTTTAAATGTCGAATATATTGGACAAAAACACTGAAAGGGTTAACACCCCAACCGACGTCTTTTCAAGTTTTAGGTTGAATTTTACATTTCTCATCCAGACACCAATTTTTATATAAACGTCAGTAAATTAATTTATTTTAATAAGAATAAAAATAACAAATATAAATGGCATGAATATATTTAAAAAAATATATAAAAATAAATGAACCCTCCTATGATATTGCAAATTTTGTTAAGGAACTGGTTTTCCTGAGATACTTTTTCTGTCTGAGATGGTGTGATGACCCATATTAAAATAAATTTATTAAATTAATTATATTAAAAATAATATTGGGCAGCTAATTTTTTATTTATTTGGGCGTCATAAATTGTTATGGAAATTGCATATTTTATTCAATTTATATGTTTTAATGTGGAAAATTTCATCAGCATATATTTCTATAGTAGATTTTTCATAATACGACTTATAAAAAACACATATTTGGGTCTTGTCATGTCATCCATTTTTTATTGACACGTTAGAAGTGCCCCAGTTTTAGATATAGTCGGTCTTCTATATCCAAAACCTCGATTTTTTATTGATAATGATCTGTTATCCATTAAAAAACCAGAATATTATGTTCTCTAATTGTATATGCTTTATTTATTTACTTACGTTTTTGAATCCTCAGGATCAATATCTGCACAGCAGACATTGCATAAATAATCCGCCCCATCATGGGCTTTCTTCTTTTTTCTATCTGAGATTTTGCTGCAAGTGAAAAGAAGAGACGAAGGAGAACAAACAAATTAGTAAAAATGGTTTAAAAACATTTAATTAAAGAAAAAGTGACAAAAATAGCTGAAAAATATGATCGCTTTGAGCTGAAGGAAGTCTTTATAGACGTAATGAAGTTTTGATTGATGCGTGATAAAAAGTGGAGGAGTCAGTAGACTAGGGAGAAACAGTCTATATTAAATATGGAATCCCTATAAATGAGTCTTTCAGGAAGTTCTTATAATCGATCTGAAGGGAGACTTTATAGGCGAGCTAAAGTGAGGCTGTATAGACCAACGATATGGCTAATTGTAGTCGAATAGTTTTCCGTTTTCGAATCTCAAAAACATTTTCGTGGAATGGAAAGTTAATCTCGTGGTCCATTACAAGTGAAAAAATCGATAAGTTCGGCCGCGATGTACCTTATACCTGAACTAAATACCTAAAATCGGATGGAATCATCCGTATATGATGACTTTTAAATATTATAGCCTGACATTTTTTGGATTCAGTATCATTATGTGCCACCATTCTACAAGAAATTCTAATAACCAATCTCTACAGAACTTAACAACACACGAGGATAGTATAACATAGGAATGTCAGGTGATAGCGCCACCTAGAGGAAAATTGGTACACTATATAAACGAGTACAGCCACACCACCTAGGAGAGTCTTTTGTTCACCAATTGTATATCATGAATAGATCTACAAGGGCGTTCTGCTGTAGATAGGCAACCCCATGGGTCGTGAAGGAAAAAATGGCAGCAAAGAAGGAAACATTCTTTCAAAGTGGGTTTGGAGTATTTGTAAAAACTGGCTTATATTCCTCTCCAGACAAAATAAATCCAAAGTCTCCGGGCATTTCAATACCCAACCTCGGAATCAAAAACAAAATAGGAATGACATGAGATAGCGCCACCCAGAGGAATATGGCAACACTAAATAAGCAACGACCACAACCACTGTATGCATTTAAGGAGGAATTGTTTCTAGGCTGGCAGAACATATTGTAGCTTGACTAATAATCTACTTTTTATAGAGAAAATGAAGGGAGTCTTTATAGACGATTAGAGGGAGTTTTTATAGACGAGCTGAAGTAGTTTTTTGTATAGTGGAACTGAGGAAGTCTTTATAGAGGCGTTGAAGGTAGTCTTTGTATAAGAGAGATCAGCCAGGACATATGGCAAAAAATGGCAGAAATAAAAGGGAAATGACAATACTATATAAACAAGGACAACCTCATCACCTAGGACAGGCTACAGCAGACAGGCTACAGCATAATTTATGGGGTCACTGGTGTACTGCAGTGGATAGGATGCCAGGCTACAAACCGGTGTAGTGGTTTTCAAATATTTTTAAAAATGTGCTTATATCTCCTAAAAACCAACATCAACATATAAGGAGATCATTAAATAGATATAGGATATAGTTCACCCAGAGGAAAATGGCAACACTCAATAAGCAAAGACCAAAACCATTGCAAAAATTCAAGGAGGCGTTGCTAATAGACAACGATAGATGGCAGGTCCATCACGTAGGACAGACTACAGTTGACCAGTTATCACAAATAGAAATCAAATAAAATAATAGTGTGATATTTCCTTTATATATTATTTTGTTAATTACGACATGAAATTTCTCTAGACTTCGATAACTTCCAGAAACTTTACAAAAAATCATTAGAAATTCGCTTTCTCAGATCTGCGAAATCAACAAACATCTGATGTTCGTCCACATTGTAAGGAAATTGAAAGTTTTGTTTACATTCATATTTTAATTTGCATAACTTGCTTCCGTGGAATGTTTTTAATATTTATGAATCTCAGATTAAACGAGCCACTCTCCTTAGGAGTTAGCCTAAGTTCTCCGTTACATTTTAAAAATTCTGAATTATAAATAGAAGAAGCCAATAGAAAAATAAAGAAGCAACCTGAAAAAAGAAACAACATCTGTTTCGAAAACAATAAATATATGGATGGTGGCGACGACGGGTCAGAGATCGCCATGTCGCCTCCAGCATAAATCATCACAGCCGAATATTATTATGTGTCGAAGTACGTAGAAAGCTTAGAAAAAAAAAAAACAAATGTTAATGAACTCTTCTAATGGCAAGGTTAATTTTTCTTTTTGGAAACCTAATGAGTAACTAGCTAAGCAAACAATTAAAATTCAATCGAATACATTAAAATGCATTGACCAGAAAAAGGCGCCTTGGGTTTTTTCGAAAAAAATTCCTATGCACTGAATTAAATCGGATTCCTAAGACTGGATTTGGAGATTTGTTTATATGTTTTGGTTTTTCTTCTTTTTTTCTTTGTTTATCAAAATGAGTAATCATAAAGAATGCAAGTTTTTTTTTTGTTTGTTTGCTTTTATTATTCAAATTTTTATGCTAATTATTCCGATCCAGAGAAGACTAACATCTGCTAACAAAAGATTAATAATTTTAGAAAGAAAAAAATAATAATAGAAGCGCTATTTTGGCTGACGATTATATTATGCAGTTGGTTAGTTGCTGCAACTAAATTGAAAAACTAGTTTTTATTTAGTTTTCGGTTTTGTTGTTAGTTTTTAATACAATCACTCTAAAAGAAAGTAACCAGACAAAGACTTTTGTTTTGAGTTGTTCGAACAAAGAATATTAATTGTTAATTGGAAAATACCAAACCGATAAAATCTAGTTGAAATGAGAATTCTGTTATTTGGTTAATTAATTAATCAATAAAGGTATGCAATGAAATCATTAAAGGTGGACAAAAAAGAGTGTAATCAGTTTATATGGAAATTGTTTGGCAAGTACTAGTGCTGCGCAATGGAGAAATGTTCAGACCTGTCCTGAGAACTGCACGAAATTAGTAAAACTTGATATTTCAGGAAGATTCTTGGTATACTGAAGGTTGTACCCATAAGGTTGTGTTATATCGTATCCTCATAAATTCAAGTATTCTATAAAAATTTTATCCGATACTTGCTTAATCAGTAGATATAGGGTATCTCTAAATAATCGGCTAAAACTACGTGTCGGAATTTTTAAATGTATGAAATATTTTTAACAGCCTTGTTAATATATAGGAGATCCTTTTTTTTTTTTGTAAGATTTACCGTATTGTTTAAACCATATGCCGTCCAGGTTCATATCTTCCATTTCAGGACAACATAATCATTGTGCATGGTACGGTACGGCCTTGTTCATTCATTGTAACGTGACGATTGACATCGTTGCCGAAGAAGAGTGTCCCAAAGACCCTGCCGGCGAGCAAACCATACCAATCATTTATTTGTTGTAGATGAGATGCTCATTTATGAAGTCCTTATTCACCTGACCAGTCACACATATTTTGCATCATAGCGAACATATTGAGCCAACATTGTGCTTCGTTATTAAATATGATTATTTCACGTTCGGAACCGTTCAATTGGACGCCTATATCGTGAAATCCCCATCAATTGACACATTGTGTAATGTTTTTCTAAAAAATATCATCCTTCTGTCCTTCGTACTTATTTTGACATACAAATATTCTATAAAAATTTTAACCCATACTTGCTCTACATATACAATATCAGGAAGGTGATTTTCTTTAAAATTGGAGCACATTTATATATTAAGGGTATCATTTGTAGAAATTCTAAATTTTCCTAATGTTCCAAATGAGTCCATTTTATATATAATAAATTTAAAAAATTCTAACTTCATAATATAGAATATATTCTAGTTTCTTACATTCCAAACTATTATCTCGAAATACCCTCCTAAATTTCAACTCTTTCAATGTAATCAAATTTTAAATTTCACATCTCCCACCAAGCGATTATAAAATTCTAAACTCGAATATTTACCCAAGACATTTAAAAGTTGTTGCTAATAAAAACCACCTTTTTCTTCAAATAAATAAATAAAACGTGTGTATGTTTGATTACGTTTTTTGTTTACATTTGAAATCACTGTGATCTGTCATGCGAAAAACTTCCGTATTTTTCCAAAAAAATAAAAAAAAAAACTACACTCAAGCATATGTCATAATCGCTGGCTGGCTGCAGCAACTCGAAAACGTAAATAAAGAAACACTACTCACAGATAATATAATACCAGTAAAACTAACTAGCCTAGCCAACCATTAGGTCCCTCCACCACAACCACACACATCCCCGGACCAACCGACCGACCAACCAACATTAGCGTAAAGTGGTCAAGTAGGAAAAGTTTCAAGTTTCCATGTAAAGCGAAAATGAGCGAACAAACAATTGCCGCCGATTGCTGGTCTCTAACTGGCACGCAAAACTTTTTTTTTGCTTTTTATGCTGAATACAGCTGGTTTTTCCTAATGGAGGGGGACTGGAAGGGGTTTTTATTTTTTCTTTCTATTATGTGAACATTGTTTTTCTTTTTGTTTTGGGCGCATTTCCATTCGACAGATGTTAAATTTTGGAGATGGTTGGAAAATAGTGCTTGTTGTCGGGTCATTAAAGGGGTTTGAGGAGTAGTTGGAAAAATGTTTTTTTTTTGAGTTTTTGTTTTAATGCGGCCGCCACTGACCAAAGTGTCGCTGGTCACACTTTTTTGTTTCCAATGAAAGACATCTATAACAAATTGCTACAAGACAGTTCTCATTTTTTTTGTCGTTTCCCCTATAATGAATGAGTAATTTTAACAAACTTCTGAACTATTTAATTACATGGTTAATAAGTCTTCCAACTACTTTGAAGATGATGGGGGAGGTTGAGTTTTTCTTTTGTTTTAATTCTAATTATGAAATAATAAATGTGATTTATGAATTGACTTTTAGAATTTTTGCGAAGAGTGAATAAAGAAAATATCATCTTGAGGTCATTTATGGGAATCTTAGAAATATTTTGGAAATATAAATCCTTCTGTAGATCTTCTACAAAATATATAATCTCAAGTTAGTATATATAATTTTCGATTTTTTCTAACATGTTTTTCGAATATTCTTTTGATAAAGTGCCTTTAACGAGTTTGTTTTTAGATC